TGAAACACTGAAATAAGCACGCATCGAGTATCAATCAAGCATAAGGCTTATCATCATCCTTCGTGTGCTTGTGGACAACTCGCTTTGTACCCTATGATGTCTTAAAATCTACTAACAGGTATAATAACATCTTAATGCAAAAAAACACCAACCGGTTTGAGCACGTCCTCCTTTTTTAAGTCGTTTAAAAATTATAAGCTTTTAAGGACGTAGCACACTTATCAACCCGGAAAGGGATCGTAACCGTATCAACTCGAGGCGGTCAGTATTCTTTGTATGAAACTCCACAACGCACACTTATCCGCACCGTAACATAAACGCCTCGCCTCGTAGTTGACAGCGCGCGAAAGGAGATAGGTATACGGTGTTGATCCCTTTCAGAGTTAAATAAGTCTGCTATGACCAGAGTAAATACAAATGAGTAGGTCATCTTCATCTTCAGTGTGTGCGTGCGCGCCGCATACGTGTTGGCGCGCTCACATACAAACCGCGCCCGGCCCGTGCGTTTCAATGAAGATGACCTACTCATTTATATTTACTCTGCTATGACCTTAGAGTCTAGACTGCCATATAGACAGTTATATTTTCCCAAGCAGCTGTTATACCCTTTTATAATTCGTACCAAGACCGGAACTTTCTTATACTTTAATAGTTTTAAAACTAGTTTTATCTTGCTATTGACATTGAAATGGCCATCCTGAGTGAAGCTGGTTTAACAATAGCTGCAGATGCAACGTAACTGTAGGGTAAGTACAAAAGTGCGAGTCTTTTTAAAATAACGGACCGTGCGAATTTTTAACGTATTTTCTTTTGATGACAATCTCGCCATCTGATTTTCACGCGTGGAGAAAATATTCTCTTGTCGATAGTTTGGTCGGGCAGTTAATCAGTATAAGTTTAGTATGAAAGTGCGCACATCACCGATTTGGTATCGACCGATTATTCTTACAAATGGAAGCTAACCAAGGCCTCCGGGAATCTTGTAAAGCTAGTGTGTGTACCTAAAAATTATTAAAAATACATTGCGTACGATTATACTTTTCAAAAAGTACAAACTTAAATTGAATGAAACTTTCTATTCTCTCCTTCTCCTTAGATTCTGTTTAACATTTGCTAAGGGAAAATGGAATAAAAACCGTTATCTCAAATTAATTTGTTTATTTTTAGTTTACATCCTTGGTGAATATAAAAAAAATAACTTACAAACCAGCCATACAAAATGTACATTGAACTCAAATTACAACTCACTTTTTACATAAACGTACATTTTTTAACTTAAATTAAACGATAGGTACCTACATTTTACATTGGTGTAATTTTTATATTACTTATGGCCCATAAGTAATATACCCATAAGTTATGGGTCTTCGCACGCACAAGTTTTTAATTAAAAGTATTTTATAATTTGGTATTAGAATTTACATTTTATTTGTAAACTTTAAGTACTTCTTTCATTGTAGAGCGTGGAGATACCATAATTAATTACAATAAACTTATTAATAATTAGACATTATACAAATATAATAATTTTGATAATTTGTTTATAGAAAACTTATACATAATTATACAAGAAAAATCCAAGGATGCCGTATTTTTCTACGTTATTTTGAACATAAAACTCTTGACTTAGCCAAATATTAAAGAAAATTACAATTTTTATTATTATTTGTCATAAATTATAAATACATTCGTGGTATGTACAATGGGAATGAATCATTTCTTGTTTTTTTATTAACAAAAAAATAAAAACGGTTTTAAAGGAGGTACACAATATTCGTGAAGTGCAAAAATATCTTTTTATGTACCAATCTAATTTCAAAATACTCTTAATTTTTTCCAAAGTATACAAAGAGTAAAATTTTTATGTAAAACAACAAAAAAAATGTGTTTGATGCAAAAATAGCGCCTTGTTCAGCGAAAATGGCGCGAAAGTGTGCATTTTACATTTTTGTTCTTTTTTACTATGTTGTAATGTGTAAATTTATTCAAAAATGTGAACACAGTTGTATGAAACACCATCAATCGGATTATTTTTGTGGTATTTTTTTTTACTTTTATGTAAATGAAATATATCGATGGTGTAGTAATAATTCTTATTGATGTAAAACTGTTTACAATTTCTGGTTTCTGTGAAGTGTGTTCAAAAATATCGGATAATTTTGACGCCTGATATTTTTTAATCAGATATTTTCCGATTCATTCGAAAGTGTGGGTGTTGTGACAAACGCCCTGAAGTCGTCCCGGCCCAACGTAGTTTCGCAGGCCTGCCCCCGCGCGATGCGTGTGCAGTAATATAATTATCAATTAAAAAAATATCACATTTGAAGCAACCTGTGTATATTATTGTATAATATGGGCTATGGAGACTGTTACGGCAGAACGCAACGTCGCTGACATTTGTTTCGAGCAATAAAAAATTTTTTTGGTTAAAAAATTATCGAAAAAAAATTTTTTTTGGCTCAAAAACTCAAAAAATATCAGAGACGCAACATTCTGACGTAGCAGGCTTTAACTATTGTACATTGTGGAGGATAGGGGGTAAAGGGGAGGTGTGTATAATGACGTGTATAGTAAATAACTCTGTATCTACACTATTGCTAAGTTTCCTTCCCAGAAAACAATGAAAATGTAAATAATAATAACTGGTTAATTTTAATTCTTTTCAATCGACCTAACAGTATAGTCAGATGCAAAAAACGTACGACTTTTTTCGGGAGTAAAAGGTTAAAAAATCATACAAATTACCGCATCTGACTATACTTATAAACTAGCAAGTTTTCTCAGCGAGTTTTAGCAGTATACTCACTGGAAAAAACTTCAAAAAATTTTTATCATCCAAAATTTTTTTCTCAAAAAATTGTGAAATTTTTATTTACATTTTTATCATTTCATGAGAAGGTTTTGTGTGTGGCGCATCGTCGGGCAACGTTAACTGGCAGGCCTACTTCAGTCTTATTATACGGTTTTCTGCCTATTCTACTGTCTTTTTTACCAAAAAATAAACTGGTTCTTTATCAAAAAATATCGAAAAAAAAAAGGCTGGCTGTCCCAAGGAGCTGTGCGATAAAAACACAAAATAAGAATGGAAATGGGGTCTTATTATTGCATTTTTACGAGAGCTCAAAAGGACAGTCAGGTATTAATTTGATGGAATTATTGAGCAGTTAAATATCACAATGCAAATCCAAAATCTAGCTTTGCTTGCATGTGTTCCAATTTTCTTTGTCAGATTTATCAATAAAAATTAACTGCCATTTTGTTCTCAATAAAAATAACAAAATGGCTGTTCACGAGTCTCAAAAACAAGTCAGAAAAAAGTCCCAAATTTTTCATTTTCTTGGGAACAAAATTGGAATTTTAGGTAAAGCTTCAAGCTGGTCAATAAAGACTGTGATATGAGACCAGGAGTAACAGGAATGGATTCCTCTATACTTTTCTATAAAGACACAGTAATTTGATATGAGAGAGACACCATGTTAACATGGTGTCATACGTTGTGGACAGTGACTAATATAGCTCTCTGTAATTTTTACCGTACATAAACTTACTGATGGACGTTTCGGGTAAAACTGTTATGTCCACAGTAAGTAAATGAGATAAGTACTCCTCGATAAAAACAGTGATATAAAACTGTTAGTCCACAGTAAGTAAATGATCATCGAGACATCCTTAAACGTGTGGAATAGCAATAAAGAATTTAATTAAATTGATATAAGACCATAAACAACAAATCTTTCTCAAAAAAGTCACTGTACAGTGACGGGATGAGATTATTAAAATTTTAAGTAAGTTAACGAACAGTAAAGGCAGTCAACCATAACCTGAGAGACTTCAGGGCGCTTCTTGGTGCGCTATGCGCTAGTCTGGGCCCGCGCGGGCAATAGCAGCGCGCGGGTACTGTTTCAACGGACTTAATACTATTTACAACTACAGCCAGTGGTCGGTGAAAATTTTGGAAGACCGTCCTTGTGCCATATGTTTGTCTCGAAGCGCTGGTAGGGCCCAAAAGATAAGGAGACATGTAAAGTGTAAAGGGCTACCTTTTTTACTGTATTTTAACGTTCATAAGTGCCACTAGTGGTCTAAATTGAATCAAATATTTTTGATTTTGATTTTAGAGGTTCTTATTTGTAAGACCATGTTTTTGTCAAGTTATAGTCTCTTCGTCTTCTCATTATTGTTAATAAGTGCCAAATCTTGTCTAAATTTACTAAAAGATTCCGTTTTCTCCCTTATGGCGATATGTTTCCACAGTAGAGGTATGGCCTAATAAAGTTGTAGGAGACAATAGTCTTCTTCATTTGGTAATGATGATGAACTTGTGGTTTTTTGACCACAGAGAGCACACTAGGAGACAATTTAGTTGATTTTGGTTGTATAAAAGATTTGGTTTCATGTGGACAAGGAGATATGAACTGGGAGATTCATTAAAATATAGAGTTTGAACAATAATAACAGTTATTGGCATAATATTTTAGTTTGTTAAATTTTTATGTCAGTGACTGTACTTTTTAGAAGTTTCTGAATAATATTTTCACCAACCACTAAGGCAGAATGACACTGTTGTACTTTTAAAACTATAGATTGGAATAACAAAAAAAATCATCGGTTTGAGTTTTAGAACTTTTGAGTTATGCCCATTTTCACCTTCAATTCCTAATTTTAAAGTGACCCCTATATGGTAACTCATAACAGGAATTTCGTTTTCATAGAAGTCACTCAAAAATTAGGAATTGATGGTGAAAACGGGCATCATTCTAGCCAAAAACGCTGGGTTTTTAGCGGAAACAGATTTTCGTTTATCATTTCAAAAGTACAACAGTCACACTCAAAAAAGGTTTGTAGAAAAGATGAAAACAGGATGTGTAACACTTAATACTAGATGAGAGGCTGCTCAGTATGCAATGTAAGATTTGCCTTGATTTTTAAGTCATTGCCTAAATCATTCCAGTTTAAATGGAAAACATTGATATGTATGAGGAATACAAGTTTTTTTTTTTTATTTGATTTCAATTCTATGATCAAATGAGGTTATTTTTTTTACTAATTGAAATTGAAATTTTTTTGGCCCAATGTTTTTTGATACGCAAATTCCAGATCTAGGCAATGTATAGAATTTTTATAACCTAGAAATGCTGTTTCTCATGTAATATAACTAATAATAATTTGATAGAATTGAGTCCTCTTTCAGATTTTAAGGCTAAATAATCCAGACATTTTAAAAGACTATCCATTGTAAATATTCAATACAACCCTTACTAATAAAAGTTATGCAAATTCTACCAGTCTAAAGTGGCATTTTGTGTAGAAAATTGGAAATATCATTTTAAGCTGGCGTTTAACGCACGTAACTTACTATTAGCAAGGGAGTAAGAATTTAAATCTAACTAGAATTCAGATAGAGTAACGATTATAATTTTGACGATAGTCTTTTATACTCAGACGGCCTAGTAAGCCTCATCGTGCATACTGCAGCACCCTCAAGTTTCAATAATATCACATGTAAAAACTTCCTCGGTCGACCCTGCAGGTCTAACATGCGATAAAGGCTAACAACTACGCAACAAAGTCTAAAGGCCTGTTGAAACCGCCTTTCCGGTTCATGTACTGTCTGTATTTCCTTTTGAGAACAACATGGACGTCTCCATCAACATTATCGTCAACTTTCTTACCTTTGGTGGTGTCGAAGCCGCAGAAGCCCATAACTTTCAGCATTTCTTGCTCTTCTGGCGTTTTTCCCTCCAAATCGGCAGGGGTGACTATGGGACGCTCTCCGAACGTCTTTTTCGGCTTCGGAGCGAACGATGAAGTAGGTATTGGAGATATGGAGCGAGATCTTCGGCGTCTCGGCGATGGCGACCGCCGCCGGTCCGGGGACCGTCTTCGCCGCTCTAGAGACCGGGAACGGGACCGGGTCCGCTGTCTTCTCCTGTCGCGGTCCCTATCTCGGTCTCTTCTGTCCTCACGACGCCGGTCGTCGCGTCGCCGCGGCGGGCTAGGCGACCGCCCCATGTTGTCCTGTTATATGAAGAAATAAACCATTATTATGAATTGTAATTTTAATATAAATAAGTTTAAAGTGGAGCAGTTGAAATCTTACCTCAGATTTATGTCAACAGTTTTAAAATTTTGCAAAAATAAAAAAATTTAACAACAAGCACGACCTAAACGACAGCCATTTTGATTTCTACTGAATATTTTTTTTAATTTTCTTGCACGCGTTGTCAGTTACGTTCCGTTTCGCGTATATATTTGGTAAATATTTTTTCTATAGCTAAAAAAATTGTTTTCTCAAGAGGTATAGAAAGAAAATATTTTTACTAAAAATAGAATTAAATGTCAATTGGTAATCTACCTATTTCAAAACATTTTATAATCAACATTTTAATTAAATGAAGGGAAACCTAAATGATTTCAGTGAAATGAAACGTATCTACGTTTCATTCCACGTTATTTAATTTCTAAATAAGTTAATATTTTATTACATTTTGATATTAAGAGCCTTTATTTAATAACATAGAAAAGGTTTTGCATTTTCGATTAACAAAATGCATTAAATAAATATTTTATAATAAACAGCGGAAGGATTTTTACAATGAAAATGTCTTTTGAAAATCGGGATGATGCGTAAAAAGGAGTAGAGAACTATTTAGTGTTGCCAGTAAGTTGAAAACTCCTATCATATCGGTTAACAATTTATTATTACCCTGGTCGTTCAGATTTTTTGACCATTTAACCTGACTGCCGAAGTGCTGAAGGTTAATTATGTTTTATGAGAACTCGTAAAAATCTTTAAATCCAATAATAATAATTTTTTCTTTGTTTATTTTTGAAGGGACGCACGGCGCGCCGCACTGGTAGCTTGAAGAGCTTTTCCAGCTTCAATGGGCAGAATGGTGAGTACAGAAGGTACTCTAGCCGTTTGGCGATCGTCGATGCGCGTGCCGACGAGGCCGAGCGAGTGTGGGCTCAGCCCAGGCTCGTCCGCGTCGGTCGCAGACAGACGTTCGACGTTCGCGATTGGGCAATAATGTTTTCAAGGTACTGTACTGAACTTATCTCGTTTGTAATTATGTACGTCTGGTTACAAATACACTGAATACAATTTTTGACAGGAATTTGTCCTTCAGTTTTAAAAGATTACCTTAAAACATTTGGTTTGGTCATCAGTCCAAATAAAATAAACAGAATAAACTACGATTATAATGGGGTAATTGACAACCAAAGGTATAGCAACATTAACGCCTGCAGCGCCATCTGCATAAAAAAGTGTCACCACTTGACAGCAGCGACGCCGCGGCGAAAAAGCGAAGCTCGCGCCGACCATCGATCTACTCCGGTGGCGTGCAAATCGTATTCTTTTTTACGAACGAAATTGAGTTACAAAACGCGTTTGCGCGTAATGTCGTTGGTGCTAGTGCATTAAAATATAAAGAGGATCATTCAGTGCGTGTATTTTGTATGATGTTGCGTCGTTTAAGTGCTTAGTGCGTTACTTAGCTTCTATTCTAGTGAGAAGTGTGTGTGAAGTGACTGAGAAAGAAATCGACGTCTGCTGCCCTCCAGACCCGATTGCCGGTGCGTATTGCGTGCAATTAGCTTTCTTTCGTTCGAATCTGTTTACATTTCCAATTGGTTTGCAGCGGTTTTCGTATGAAACGAATTTTTCCGTGGAACACTTTATGTAGGGTGTGTCTTCGATATCGGGGTCGTTTTTTGTCGCGGCTATTACAGCGCGGGCGAGTCGGTCTTATTTAAGACATTGGCTTCACCGCTGTGTGTTTTCTATGCTATCATAGCCGTAAAAACTGTGTTTTTCACACAAAAATCGTTACCACGACATAATTTTCGTCCAAACATCCAATTTGTTACAATTACATCGTCTTTGAAGTTGTCCAATCTATTTTCGTACGTAATACTGAAAGATTTTGGGCGTATCTCGCCGTGTTCAATTAAATATGTACCATGTTATCATGTACTCAATAAAAAGATGATGTCATTCATACCGCCGGGCGGACACCGCTGACCGTGTAATCCGGCTGAGTGAGCTACGTCTTTATTACAACGCAACCTCGGATAATGATAGGTGTATTTAATTCGGTTGGATTTTAATTGCTTGATTTTGTACTGATTTGATAGCACCACTTTTCGAGTTGTTTCGATAAAAGTTAAAATTACTAAATCTTAAACAATTTCTTTAGTTTTTTAACGGTTGTGAAGCAATTATGCTTATTAAAATTATGATACAAGCGATAATAATAATAAACACTATTATCTGGCTTACATAATGAAAATTATTAATGCGCTGTTAAAACAACAATAAAGTTGGTTATTTATTGAGTAATAAATTATTAATAATAATCAATTACTCAATAATTAATAGCTTTTAATTATAACAAACTTTTTATCTACATAAATGTTAAATTCAATTTATCGTATGGACCGTATGTAATGACGGACAGAAATTAATTTATTTCGTGCTATAATAATATATGGTAGTGGTTAATTATTATCTTTAGGTAATTCTCAAGTTATGAGCTTGCAGTATACATACACTGAGTATAAAGCGCATAACAATTTAAAATGACAACTGACAATGATCTGCCGTACAAAAATCAACGAACTTCGTCTCATACACAATAGCACTGATTGTAGACGTTTATTCACAAAAAACTGTTAACAGCGGTGTACGGTGCAAAAAATGCCCACTGGATTCGGTCTGCATAAAAACTAAGAGCTACTTCTCATTTATGGTGTAACGGAAACTGGTTTTATTAGCCTTTTATGATACGTTGATGGTTTTTTAAAGTTTCGGTTTTGGACTGGAAAATTATGAGTACTTTTTTAAAGATAGATTCTGTCTATTTTTTCATTTATTAATATTTAAAATGTGTTCTAGCTAGATAACTTCTACAGATACCTACATAATAATTAATTAGGTAGGTAACTTGTTTTCTTATAAGAATAAAAGCCACTAACATATTTCTGATAAGATACATCTAAGTTAGGTGGATGTCTGTAATGAAAACAATTTTTATAGTACAATGTTTCAGATGCACACATCTTGTTCAAAATGTAGTACCATGGATCTTATGTGCTATTCAGATGTAGGTATAAGCACACAGTGTTTTATTTTGCCTTAGAAGCGGACATCCATGTTTTATTAGTTCAATCGTTAGATATTACTATTATGATTAAAATTTATGAAGAAACTAGTAGTTGTTTTGGCTTAGTTTCAAAGAAATATTAGATTTTCTGATTTTATAAAAAAACAGTTTCGTTTTAAGTTCATGCTAATTTTCATTTACTGGTTTGCCCTTTAACATTCTCTGCCCAATTTAATTACTCAAATGTCGCCGCATACCGCAATAAGAAAGTTCACTCAGTTCACCCACTTGTTAAAAGTCCAGATTTACTGTAAACTAACTGTACAGACAGACAACATTACAACAGGCTGTATGTACAATTTTGCAAAATCGACCCTTTTACAAGTACGTATTAAACTAGCTGTCAAAACGATACCGCGACACGGATTTGTCAAAAAGCTGATTTTCGTTCGTAGTCCAATCGCGTTGCAGTTGACAATTTTTAGCGCAATTGGGGCTAACCGTACGCGTGCCAAAATCAGGATCACAGGGAAAAGGCACTCACAAGTACGTAAGGCCGGTGTACAATAAGTTCACCTTACGTATTACTTATTTATGCGATATGTTACCATTGTTTCGTGGTCGCCTTTTAAAACTTGGCTTTCTGCGTACATTTCTTAGTGTTACCAGGTTTACGGTTGTTATTTAGGACATTCTGCGTAAGAAACAACTAAAAACAAATAAAATTAGAATAGCTTTTTTTAATATCCATCCACTACTATTTAAATTTTAAAGTGACTGCTTTTCTGTTAACTTTGGTACCTATGGCTATGGAGATGTTAGGAACACAGAAAAAAGAATAGAATAGTTTTTATCCCGGTATTTGAATGTGGGACCCCCTAGAATCTTAGACCACAGAATAATAGTGAGTACTTGACAGACCTCAATTCGCGCGGGTGAAGTCACGGCTAAATATTAGTTGATTGTCACACATTCATAAAACTCATTTATTTTTGCAAATTAAGTTTTTAAAAAGCACTTTTACACGTCCCAGTTTTAACCCTACCACTGCTTCATGGATAACGATCTGATACGACAATGCTAAGACACTGATAGTCTCAAAGTATCGGAATAACCGACTATTACAGGTAATTTTGATTTATACGAGTCGCCACTGGCCCCCGTCGGAGTTTTGTCAGACAGCATCTTTTTAATTTAGAGCCTATTTAGTATTCTTAGTAAGAAAATTCTAAAAAACTTTAAAGCACTTGTAAATTGGAAAGTTTTCTGCAAACCCTAAACATGGCGACCCCACTCGTAAGTTATGTTATTTGTATTCACTACGCGAATGTTATTAAGTCAGTTATATGCCAGACAATGCATTATTATAATTTAAATGCGCTTGGTCCATCCTTAGTGGATACTGACTGGGACACGTGAGTCACGCGAGGTCTAGGCATTTTACATTCTACCTCTACTCTTGAATATCATCATCATCATCATCATTTCAGCCATAGGACGTCCACTGCTGAACATAGGCCTCCTCCAATGCTTTCCATGTTGATCGATTGGTAGCGGCCTGCGACTCTCTCTTCAATATAATCTTTCTTAAAGGTTACTTAATGCTCGTTTTCACCATCAATCCCTAATTTTTAAGTGACCCCTTTGAATTTAACAAAATTCTTGGTATCTGTTACAGGGGAAATTAGGGATTAATGGTGAAAACGGGCTCAAAACCCTTGTTTGTCACTTGTCAACCTTTTCCTTAACTTCGAACTCCTCCTATGTTCTTCTGATTAACTTCGTTGCGGGTCCAATGACAGTTTAACTTTCCCCCGGGACAAACTTGACCTTCACTGGTTGTGTTTTATAGGCGGTCAAGCTGTGGATCCTGGCTACACAGGAGTTGCAGCGGTGGGAACGAGAGGTGGGAATAGTATAAGTACATTTCTCAGGGACTAACTTTTCCCATGCCATAGACGCCCATGATTTTCTTTTCCCCAACCAAAATCTACGCTTCTCCACATTATATTTTCAAAAGCGAAAGGTCACTGACTGACTCACTCATCACGAAATCTTAGAAAGTACAAGTGCTAGGAG